CTTAGTAGAAGATCATCTTTTAAATACTTTTGTTCCATCAGTATTAGGCATAAGAAGACTAAAAACAATTAAAAGAAGATAGGGTAAAAGTTACACAACTGATAGAGAAATGTGCCAGATTCTATGCCTTTATGTCATCAGCTTCCTATTGGATATATTTTGTGAAATTTTTTTTACTGAATACTGGAACCAAAATTTGATCAGTGAGACTACTGTGCTTCAACACTGCTTCTTCAAAGACTTCCCTGCTGAGAAACTTACTATCTGCTTGTCCCCGTGCATTCCCAGGGATTAAGAAAAATAGTACTTTACAAAATTTTTACTTTGTACATGCACATATGCACACACAACATGCAAAATTGTATTAAATACTTAGATTATAAAATATCTTTTATTCTCCCTGTACACACTTGGAGTCTTTCTTTAGCAGGAAGATAACAAAAGTACTAGAACATGTGGTGCCTTCATTCAAGTTCTTGAACTTCTTTTTAAGTGTGTTTAACAATTCATTGTGATAGAGTGCTGTAAGTAAGATCAGGGAGCTTACTAAATTCAACATTTCACATCTCAGTTTTACTTTGTGTAGTCTTAGTATTCTTTTAGTATTGTTTTCTTTTTTTTGTACTTTTCTCCTTTTAGTTGTAGGGTTTTTATCAAAGTAAGTTGATATTCTGTGGTGACAACAGAAAAGGCTTTTTCCTCTTTGACTTCTTTTTCACACAGTTTAATAGAAGCTTCTGCTTATGTTCCTTTAGTCTAGGCTGCATGACAGCAGCCTTCAGGTAGCTTTGGGTAATACCAAATTACTGAATTTTATACCTGAAGACAGTAATTACAATATATTGGTGTTTACAAATTTGTTTAGTTGACTGTTCTGCAAAGTAGTTAGCAGAATCTTCTGTTGCTGCAATTTGCATGACACATGTTTTCAAAAGCTGGTGGCATCTCAATCTCATTTGTGGCTTAGATATGACATTTTTTACTGTTATTTTGTTTCCTTCATGTTTTTTTTCTTTTTCTTTTTTTTAACGTCTGTATTTTTTGCTTGGTTTGGTTTTTTGTTTGTAGTTTGGGTGATTTTTTTGCTTTTCTTTATACATAAGTTTATGTGCCAGTTCCTGAATTCCATTTGAGAAATCAATTGTAGCTTAGAGTTGTGGGCAATCGTGTTGTTTACACCTAATTGTACTCAGCATAATGACCCTTTTGAGGATTAGAGGGACTTGAAGGCTGCAGTAGTACCTGGAAACCCTTGAGAGCCATTTCATCACCTGGAAATGACTGTGAGGCGGAGTAACTATGGTAATACCCTTCTTCTGCAGTCAGATCAGCTTCCAGAGATTGGTTTCCCCAGACAGGCTTTGAAACATCTTAAGGAAGACATGGCCCTGAAGTGCCAGATACATTATTCAGGAGTATCCTACACCCTTTTTTAAAGAGAAAGCTCTAGGAGATAATACATTTTGCACCTCTGCCATCTTCCTACCCAATAGCTAAAATTATTGCTGCATTATTAAATCTTGTTACCTATCTTATGACATATTTTTCAAGTTTAATTATTTCTTTCTATTTTTACCCTGACTATTTTTTGAAGACTCATATGTCTGTAATACTGAGGTGGAAGGCATGTTTGTAATTGGTGCATTGGGGACAGCCCTCTCCCTTCCTGCTAGCTGGGGTAAACAAGGGAGCGTTTGATTCATTGGTGTGGCACCTACCCAGTTCCATCCACTGAACTCTTGAGACAAATAAAGCTTCTATCTTACTGAAAATTTGATGTGGGGGTCTGGTAAAGATTTTCAACTTCTTGAGATGCTGAATCATGAGTTGACACAAGGCGGAGGTAGCTGGCAGAGATGTCCAAGTCTTCAACGTGCAAAGAATTTATTTTTTTTGTCTTCAAAAGACAAGTGCTACATGACCAATTCAAAATCTGTGATCACTGGTTTTAGTTTAGTACCCATATTTTGAACCCATTACGTTTTGTGTTGCATGTACTACAATATCATTAAGAGAAGGTGAAGAGAAATATTCCAAAAAGTGTAGGAGGGATCGCTACTAGCCATAAGAAGTACAGGTCTGCAGTCGCTCCTCCCTAAGCCATGATCATTTCAGCAACTCTTATTTGATTTATTCTCATCCAAATATTTGTCAGGATTTCTTTGTCATCTTGGTATGCCTCAGTAGAACCTTTTGTAAACAAATATGACATCAGTGATCGAGTGGGAGAAGTTAGTAACTGGCACAGATTAAGTTTTTCTTTTTAATTTTTGTAGTAGGTTTAAATGCTAAGTCTTGGTCCAAAACCAGGTTGAATTTTTTTAGAATCATCTTTGAACATCACTATCTTACCTTTTTCTACAGTACTGTCTGGACCTTTATTGATGCTTCCATTCATCAAAACTGGGCAGCATTTATATCCATGGATCCCCAAGAACCAAAAGGACTTCCTGAAATTTACTAGATGAAGTAATTTGTTACAGTTCCATTTGGGTTCAGTTGAATAGGAAGAATAGAAAAGAGTTTAAACAAGTTTAAGGGGACTACATCAATGCATATATATGTATTTACAGTGTATAAACCTTCTTCTAAGACAGAGTTGTGTCAAACAGGTTTCTGTAATTATTCTGTGTGATGAACTAACAAGTCAGTTAAGAATCGATGCATTGGTTCTCAAAATCTGCTTTGATGCCTCCTTAGGAAATTAACTATGCCTCTGAAAACCCAGTTCATGATATATATCATTTCAGAGAAAAATCCTGGGCTTACTTTGTGAGGCTTTTATTAAATAGACCTGAGACCTGTCTAGATCCAGATCTTCTCAAAAATCTGAAGCAGCTATTCACCTCAGGGGTACAGCAAACCAAACAATAAGGACTCTAATCCAGGCATTCAAAACAATGTGAGCCATATTTGGTAAGTGAAATGATGACTTCATATGAGTAAGTCTCTCTCTCTCTCTCCTTAATGCACGGTCATATTTGTTTCAGCTTTTAAAAAATATTTTCAAATCTACACAAAACATAAGTTTTTACTTATTTTTATAAACTACATACAAAGGTGAACCCGTTGGGGAGAGATAGGACAAGCAGTTTTCCATCCTGCTGGAAATGAACAGATGTTCTGCCAATAACTCACTACTATATACTAATATTACTAATGTGATTCTATATTAAGATATAGTTGACTTGAGAGACACTGCTGATTTCCGTTTTATGAACTGTACAGCTAGATAAAGTTCTTCTGTTTGCTGAATGGGATAAGACAAATCCAAGATGGTAGAGTGTGCTACACTTCATATAATGCATTTGGTTGATCTTTATGGAATTCGTTGAAATTCTAATTCTCTTGCACTTTTGCTGTTTTACAGGCACACTTAGAGCCTTCATCACATGCACAACCCTTTTTCTTTCTTTCTTATCAGAGGATCTCACCATCAGAGAGAGGGGCTGAGAAGCCTCCCACTTCCATAGCATATAATTGGAAATGCCTTTTTTGTTAATCTTTTCAAAATTGTCTTTGAACTTTCTTCTCCAGTTTGTAAACCCTCTGTATTTTGAATTGCTTTCTAGTACCTATTTTGAATGTGTGTTTGTGTAGGTTACATTATTTCAGCTTTCTTCAGATTCTAAGATGTGAAAGGTTCTGGGATTTTGTACAAGATCATAGGAAAATTTTCATTGCTTTTATTGGTAAAGTAATTATAATTTTGCTAGCTATTGCTGCTATTAATACATGCATTACTAGCATTGATAATTGCTAGCATTTTAGTTCATAATGCAGTGCTACTGGTGGAGCTGAAATAAGCCATTCATTTGCAAAACAGTGATGATGGAATTTTAGTGACCTGTCCTTAGCCTACAGCTAACTATATTTTGTAGCTATGTTTGTTTCTTTTTGAAGAGAGCTCAAAGAGTGAGTTTAAACTTCCTGCAGCATATTTGCCATCAGATAATGGCCCTGGGAAGTCCAAGCAGACTCCTTTCCTTTATCTCTGCCTTGTCTCCAGTGGCAATAGCATGAGCAGAAGTGCACTCCTCTTTCGCAGTATAAAGAATCAGTCTTTTTTGCCCTGTGTTCACAATGAAAGTCTAAATTTAGCTCTTCATTTTCTTCTAGTGTAATGGATCCTCTTCTTCATCTATTCAGTTGGATGTTTATGTCTTTTTCCTGTAGATCTCAGGCTTGACACTTATCTCCAAGCTTTTTAGATTTCGAGAGGTCGCATTTTGGGACAGAATAAGTAGAAATGTTAAATATATTTGCTCGTAGAAATGGTGCAGCTACTTGATTATCATAAGAGACTGGCCTTGTTTGTGGGCTATGAGGAACTATGGTAGATGCTAAAAGCTGCTGGACATACAAGGTGCAGGATGGTATGATACCTTTGGGAATAAATTTGGGGTTGAGAGAGGAAATGTATTGTGTGAGCATGAACTTAAATATGGAAGCATGGGAGGAGTGTAACATTGAATTACACGGTTAATGGAACCACCAAACTTCTAAATATTTTTGACATAAACTTGAAAACTGTGCCCTCAAAGTTTAAATCTCGTATTGCATTATACTGTATTATTATGAAAAAGTATGTGGAAAGTATTTGTTAACTATTATGGTGTTACTTGCCTCTTGACTTCCCCAAGAACACTTATGTTTTCTATTCCAGGGTTCCTATCTTTGCCCCTTCTCCAGTGGAAAGTATGGATGTGTGATTATATGATCTAAATGGTGTATTATTCTTCACTGTTGATGCATTAAGTTGCTTATATCCTTATAAACAAAGTTTTAAATAATATATCTGGATAGATGCATTCAGTAAGAACCTCTGTATTTATTTAGTTCTGCTAAACATTGTAGAATAATACGCTAAATACTCTGTTGAAGTATTTAAGATGGATGCTTGAGGTGTGAGCACAGCAGAAGGCATACACCCCATCTCCCAATGCACTATATACAAGCTAAGTTGCATTATTTAGCAGTGTTTCTCTTTTTTTCCATAGCCTTTCATGTCCCCTCGGTACCCTGGAGGTCCAAGGCCACCTTTAAGAATACCCAATCAGGTAAGATTTTATTACTGATGCACTATTGCTGTCCAGGGTGATGGTGCAGTGGTGGGAACAAGGAACATTGTGCCTACCAGTGGCAGGTTGGCTATAAAACTCACTCAGTCCACTCTCCATCCTGTTTTGTCTGGTGCGGCTGTGGCACTCGCAGCTCACTTTCCTCTTCTTTAGTTAAGAATTAATTAATTAAACAGGCTTAACACACAGTATTTGTCTGCACCTCAAAGTTTATTGTGCATTAAACCTGTTTGCAGAGGGAGGATGCAGTTGCCTTGTGCTGCATTTATGTCAGCCAGCGCTGCCTGCTCTGAGAAGAAGGCAGAATGACCCCATAATTGTTAGCTTTGAGATTTTTCTTACTTAATTCTACGTAAAATGCTTATTCTTCATATTTATTTCATATTAAATACAAAGTTTATTGGAGAGAAACAGATATCATGAAGTGCTGTATGGCTCTTATAGACACTCTGAGGACTTTATAAAAGCATCAAATTCCTGCTTTTCTCTCATCTGCGTCAAAAGAGATGCATGCCAGTGTAACAAGAATGAGTAATGAGCTGCTGTTCATCAGCAGAGACCTTTGTTGGCCCATCTGTGAAAAGATGGTTCTGGAAGTAGATAGCATTTGTATTTTTAAGTTCTTCATAGTGCAGACAGAGGGAGAAAGTGGTTGTCAGCAGATGAAAAGTTAAAGATAAGCAGACGGAAGAATGTCGGTGGAGCTCTGAAAAAAACCCTAGGTTGTTTACAATACTGGGAAAGTTTGATAGGATAGATGGAACGGGTGTTTGGTCTGACTTTCAAAACTGCCTTTCTTCTTGTCACACCTTGTTGAGGAGACTTTTGTGTCACAACCTCAACTCTGGCTATTTTTTATGTGTATATAACACAACGTCAATAAACTTAATTTTTAGCACTGAGATAGTACTGACAGAAAGTATGATATTTAAATTTTAGTGAGCTGGATGTATCATGTGGCAAGGCTTCTTCAGATATTCCTATATGTCAGACATGGTGATGTTCAGGAGCAGGTTAAGTTACCTGTACCATAGTTGCTATCTCACAAGGGAAATGTGTGACTTAATTAACCTTGCTGAAGTGATCATCTTGGGACAGCATAAGAGTGCAATGTCATTAGCACTCTAGTTAAAAATTTGCTACAGACATAACTCATTACGAAGTATATTCCTGATTTTTGCACCATTCAGTAGTACCTTAGCCAAAGATACACCAGTGTTTGGATTTCACGTATTCCTTTGTTTCTCTACTTCGAAACACTGTAACCTGGGTGTGGCAAGTGCTGCAAACATGCTGCCAACCTGCAGCTTTAGTTTTGAAAAAGTGTTTTTGTCTGCCCATTATGGTATTTTCAGTTCAGAGCTGTAACATAATCACATAATCTCAGTGAATTACAGCTCTTGCAATTCACTGACATTATGTTGCATTCATGAATTACTGCTTTTAGCAACACTGCCAATATTTAAGTTACAGTATAGATGGACAGTGTGTGGAAGGAGTAAGCTACTGTAGTGCAGTTTAAGTCTGCAATTTTGATTAGATGCAAGTCAGTAAAAATCAGACCTAAAATTCCCACTGTAACTGTAACTCAGTTCCTTAATGCCTCGCAGCAGGGATTGTGTGTCTTAGGTGAAGAAGGGTGACACAGGGCATATGTGAAATCCCAGATTATCTGAGCTGGATCAGGGCTTTATAGCAAGGAAAGGTAGCACTGACTGAGTGCCACACGAGTGACCCTAAATTGCCTCTGGTTCTTCATCACATCCTATAAGATCAAGCCCTACAGGGGCATTTGCTGTTGGCAACGCATTTTTTTCTTGAAAAGTGGTATGACATGTTAGAAAGGAACCACAATCCCTCATGTAATGACTGCATGAGTTAAGTCTTCGGTCACATGTGCCTGTGCCACCAAATGCCTCCATGTCCTGCATGTCACTGGGCATCTCAGTCAGAAGTGACCAGCTTAGGTTTTGCTAGTATTTGACACTTCTCTGTGCACTTCATGTGTTGCTCTCATATATTTGTCTAGGCTTCAAGCCACTGAAGTACATGTAAAAACTGGATTTAAATGTTGTCATCTCAGATGATTTGTCCGTTCTGTTAGTCTTGCATGTAGCGTCTTTTGAATGGATCACCTCTGAGGTGATAATGTGCATCTTAATTTTGAATTTCCTACTTCTTGTGGAAACAAACTGTATACTATTTGCAGATAGGTTCTCCTTTGTATTTGCTTAAGACTACTACAGTATTTCCAGGTCAGAAGTAACTTATCCTTTCACACAGTAAGCAGTACCTGTATTGCCTCTGTTATTAGTTTCATAACAACAGATTTACTCATTCTGGACACATTTCTGCTGAAAATGTGGTGGTGTTTTGAAATGCTAAATAACACCTTGCATATCAGCTACACAGATCCATTCATAAACTCATTTTTCTAGTTGACTAAACTATAGGTAAGAAACTACAGAAATTACTCTTAAACCTAATTCGGTTACTGTAAACCCAAAGGGCATATTAAAATGTGGGTACCTAAATGCAATGTGTTTGATTTGGACCAGAGGTGAACTAACAAAACAATGCACCTTCATGCTTGAAGGCAAGACTTAGGAGGAAGTTTCGTGACTGTTGTTTTCTCCCATAGATGAATAATAAGCTTATCTTGTCATTGATGCCCTTCAAGAGTAAGGCAGAGTGGAAGATAAATTTTACCCCACATCAAGCTCTAAATAACTGTACCCTGTGAGTGCTCCATGATTGGCTCAGCTACAGCTCATTCTCAGAGAATATCAGCATCCACATCCTTACCTCTGAAAGGAAATGCTAAAATAATAGTTAAAAGGGAAAACATAAACATTGGATAAGGTAGTGTTAGGAGGTTAAATAATGGGTGAACTAAAGTGAAGAAAGTATGGTGGCAGCTGGGGAAGCAAGTTAGGCATAATTCCACAGAATTTACTGTGTAAATCCATAGTTAGGACATTGAGGACTTTAATTTTGGTTAGGCACTTAGGACATTTTACTTAGGGCATTTAGGAAAGTTAACTCTTCCACGTTAGTGTTGGTTCAGAAGAAACATCCAGGTATTAAAACCAAAATATCTATCTTTGACATAAATTTCAAAGCATTATATGCTTTTAACATATGGTTTCTATGCTTGCAGGCCCTTGGAGGTGTCCCAGGAAGTCAGCCGTTATTGCCTAGCGGGATGGACCCAACACGGCAGCAAGGTGAATGACATAATTATTTGGACTTTTCAGAAGTACTGTCTTCTCAAACTTGTGTCTTCTGTATTTCAAAGCTTACTGCAGCTTTTTAAGCTTCTTGATAATCAGAAAGAAAAGTTTTGTTAAATCATTAATCATAAATTACTCTTTTAGAAGGTGCATATTTTTTTAAGTTACATAATTTTATTTGCAGGGCATCCAAACATGGGCGGGCCAATGCAAAGAATGACTCCTCCAAGAGGAATGGTTCCATTAGGACCACAGGTACCTTCCACAGATAAATATCCGTTTTTACTGATAAATCTATACTTAGGCTATATTACTCTGGCTTTTCGTAGCTCGAAGATGGCCAGGACTTGTTCTTCTAATCCCGTTTTAAAATGATGTTTCTGTTTTGCAAAAATGAATTCTGAGGTGAAGCTGTACAAAGTACAAAATGAAAACATCAGTTAAGATCTGAAACTGAAAGAAGAATACCTTAATCCCGCTCGGTCCCCATGTGTTGCCTGGTCTAATCAAGAGGTGGCGTCCCTGCCCATAACAGGGAGGTTGGACTAGATGATCTCTAAGGTCCCTTCCAGCCTAGGCCATTCTATGATTCTATGATTAATTTGCTTATTTCAGGAAAGTTATGTTGGTCCTACAGTCAGTGTATGTCGTAATCAAAGGCTGACATTTGTAAAGGAGACCAGGGGTTGAGCAGGTGTTTTCTCATCCTCCCAACCTAATTGATTATTCTGTTAACGAGAAAATGATTAATGCTTCCAATTTAGGCAAAATCTTTTTACCAAAAATACTCCCCAAATTCTGGAAAGGCTTTTTTTTGTACACTATTAGTCTAGATTTTTCGTGAGTGCTAGAGAGATTTTCATGTAAAATGAGAATTTCTTGCCCTTTTCTTCCATTTTTTTGCCATTTCTTCCCCTTGTCAATGACAAACATCTCTCTAGCTCTGTTTTCAAGGAGCAAAGCAAGAATTAACTTTCACCATGGTTCTGACCTGGTCATAATTGCTCATAGGCTCTTTCTTCAAAAGTGTGAAAATACGAGTTGACATTTGTCAGTGCATATTTGTCAGTATTACATTTCGACAGTAAACAGATTATTTATGTTGCATATCCGAAATATGAATCCAAAGGATTTTTCTATGTTTTGTCATTGCTGTCAGTGAAAGAAAACTTAGGTGATGATACTTCATACCGATATTGCCAGTATGTTGTTTTCCAGCATGCTTGTTGTGCTCACACTTTGCATTTTTACTTCCCTATTTCAAATAATCTCTCTAGTGACTTCTTTGTTCCTTGGAATAGCAATTGAATTTTAAATGATTAAGTAGCTTTGCCTATCAAATCTATTCATAACCGTCTTTACAATTTTGGGTTTTCTTGGTAGAACCCAGTTGTGTCGTTGTGCACATTTGCTGTGTGACCAGCAAACCATTATTAAATACATTTGTTATTTCTTATGTATCTTTGAACTATATTTACCACTTACTTTTTTGATGTAGAAAGAGAAGCTTTGCAATGCTGCCATATGAGATTGAGCTGATCCTTTATGCAGCACCATTAGTCACACAGCAGGCAAATCTCATGCCAGTTTTTATAAAGATAATTTTTCCATTTTTGCTGTCTCTTAAAATCTGGTGCTTTTGTAAGGTTCTTCTTTCTTGTACCCTGCACATCCTCTTAAAATGGGGAAAAACATAGCTAATCCACACAAAACTTGAATTCACAAATCAGTCTTTTCTATAAATGGTCTGTCTTTGTAGCAGTCATTTACGATCTTTGCAGAATGCAATCCTAAGACCAAATTTGATGTATTGGTCGCACCTTCATTTAATGTCCTCTTGCTACATTGACGTAAAGTTGACGTAGGTGTGCCTGTAGTGGGAGGCCCTACTACCTTGCTGCACAGGCAAAACATTTGATGTGCTGATACAGAAATACTTACGTCCAGTATAGCATGCATATGCCTGAAAACTCACAGAAAATTTACCTCAGTTTGGTATTTTATTATGCTAGACTGTTTCAAACTAAATAACGTGAAACAAAAGCAGTACGTGGTTGTAAATGCTTGAATCTGTTGAAAGCTGCGAAGACTTAGGCTCAGGCTTTTTGCAAGCCATAGTTAAGGTAGGTGAATGGGGTACTACCTCCAGTCTCTTACTGCTACTTCTCCACGACCTTTGTATCAGCTGAGGCAGCCCCACATACTCCCTGATGCTTTCTACTCAAAATAGTCATGTAATTTTAAATATTTAAGAAAAAGGTCTTGGCTAGCCTGGCTGATTTTGGTTACCTCATATTAGGGAGTGCTTTTATGCACAGCTCAACTGCCAGTTAAACATTGGTGGTGGTGACTGAGTAAAAAGTTGTAAGGAACAAACTGGCACACTGACTTCTGCAGAAAGCATAGCTGCAGCTGAAGGAACATGTGTATCGGTAGCCTTAATGAAAGTGCTCTTTTTTTAGGATGAAGCAGTACATTTGATTAGAATTAGCAGTAATTAGAGTTAGAAGTACATTTGATTAGGGTTTTTCCAGTCCTGCAGGATTCCATAGACATCTTTAACCCCATTCCACACAAGTGATTCCTGAACTAAGATAAAGAGAGGAGATACCAAACAGACCAAATAGGGAGAATGGCTCAGCGCTCCACATGAAGATGGAAAAATGAAATGAAATGGATGCGGAACTGCTCTTCTGTTACAGTCAGATGGAGTTATCTTCCAGATCCGGTATTGCCAACTGCAGATGTTTCTATGCCCAGCTCCCAGCTTCTTTGACTACCCATCAGTTACTGCCCTAGGGATTTGTTAGAGGAGTAGGTCGGCCAAAATCATCCAGGGTAACATAGATTAAACAGGAGGTTTGAGTTAATCTGCCTGACTTTTGCCTGAGCACGCGCACCAGTTGGTCTACTAGCTCATTGTCATGAGTAACGGTGGATGACCAGCAGCTGTGGCTACTGCTGTCTTCAGATGGCGCTATTGGTTCTGGAAGTTGACATTTGTTTGCAGCCTCTGGTTGTATTCTTGAAAACTAGCTGTCGATGGGAAATTTTCAGGATTGTTAACAGTAAAGAAGAATTTAAGTGGAAGGGTTTTGTTTGCAGCAACAGAAGCTCCTCTCTTAGTTATAGATCAATTCCAGATAATTGTTATATCAGTCAGGGTATAAACAGCACCAGACCCATGCTTTGTATATTGCTGTTAGATTTCTCTCATTCATGACTTCAAGTTTACGTGGTTTCATGAATCAGACCACTATAGAGAACACCCATAATCCCAAGTCATATAGTTTATGCAGTCTGTAGTATACTATACATGAAAAAGAGTTTTATTAGTGGAAAATAACCTGCAACAATGACCTAAACTTCTGCAAAGTAAATCGATTCTTTGTCCCTGACTCCTTCCAAAATGGACAGGCATTCATTTTAGATAACTATTATCCATTCTTTTGAAATATTGGGAGAATATCATATATCAGGATTAACACAGATTAGACAGTGCATTATGATTGTGAGGTGAGGTAGACTGTTCTGCTTGTATTCCTCTGAATAAAAATAGGTATAATTTAGTTTTTCATGTAAATAGTACAGTTAAACTTTTGTCTTAATATCAGAGAATAAACTCAGATTTTATAGGCATTGGGCAATTATTTGTTGGCATTGCTATGACATTCATTATCTTAAATACTTTTTGTATTAGTTACCACAGCTTTGTTAGAATTGACTGATTAGAAGAAAAATGTGATTGTTATGCTGTATAAGTGTGATATTATATGGTGTAATTTTATACAAGCATTTATTGCTATAATAACAAAATTTAGCTTAAGATAATTCTGTTTATATTCCATGATCTAGAAATCCTAGAATCTAAGTCCATTTTTCTGATTTTGCATGAGTTCCCTAGTATAAAAGTTGAATAAAATTCTAAAACCTGCCCCCTGCTCGCTGTTGACTTGACCTCACTATATGTAAATAATTCCTCTTGAAACAATTGACATTTTAAATATTCCTAGTCCATTTTTATTGGGTTTAGTTCTTTCTCCTTGGGATTAACAGTATTTTTTTAAGTCAACAATGGAAACTCCTGAAAGAATGAATTGCATTGGCCTATCCAGTCAGCAGTTATGTAGGGATGTCATTAACCTGCTGTCCTTTCTTTCCCCCTCCTCTTTGGTTTTGTTTTTTTGTTTTGTGGTAGTCTGACCCTTGGTTATCATTGCAGAACTATGGAGGTGCAATGAGACCCCCACTGAATGCTTTAGGTGGCCCGGGGATGCCTGGAATGAACATGTAAGCACAACAATAAAATCTTATAATACTTAAAAGAATCGTTATTTCATGGTAAAAGTAACATTTGGGATGCAAAAGACAAGGAGAATGTGCATTGATGGGTAACATGTTTTGATGGTTAATAACTGCAATTTAAAAAATAAATCCACAGTAAGTTCCTTCTTCTGCATGCAAGGTTTTCACGGTTTCTGTGTGCTTCTGGGACTAGATCATCGGTTGGTAAAAACTGATACAAACTGAATTCACCTAAGCCAGACTGAGGTATCACAGGCCTGGGTTTATCCATAGGAGTGTATTACGTCTTTTATACCTATAGCCAATTCCCTTATCTAAGTGTGTAGAAAAATTTCCAATGTAAAATTCGTGTCTCTAGAGTAGACTAGCTTTAAGCAGAGGATTTTAGCATAGCTGGTGGTCTGACATGAGCAATCTTCTGCACTTTAAATAAACTTTTCTCGCTTGGAGTTACTTGCACGGTTAGCAAGCCTGGGGAACAAAAACAAACAAACAAACAAAAAGTGTTCCTTGTATTTAGATTTCTCTCTTAGGAGAGTCACAAATATTGAGATGCTGTTATAGTTACCTTTAACATACCATAGACCAGAGATTATCAAGTGATTCTTGTATCATGCTCTACCTCTGCTGAAGTTAATATGTTTTTTCATAACCAGCACTTTGCAGACCCTGCGGTGCTCACAGAAGGCAGCTTGGTGGTCTGGCTGTTAAGATAGTAAAATTATTTTACAACCTAAAGCAGATAACATCTTCTTTTCTTACTCCTTTTACACCTTTTTCTTTCAAGAATGAGTTTTCAGCAGATCAGCACTGAAAGCACAGTGAAGATTTGTATATGCCTGTCATTGTTATACCATAGATCCCCATGTTTACTCTTATAGGAAATATAAATGAGAGATGGTAATTTTCATTTCAAGTATAGAGTTACCAACCTGAAAAAGTAAAAAAGGTTTTGAGATAATACTGTTCAAAAATTTCTAATTCACCATATTATTAATTTCTTTTGATTTCTAGGCATACTTTGAATTCTTGAAGGAAATAAAATAAAATCTAAAGTTGGGTATTACTCTGTTATAGACATATATTGGACTCAAGACAATTCTAGGAGCCTTCCCAAGGGTAGGCATTTCTTCCTTTAAATGAAGAAAAATGTGGAAATATAGAAATACACAAATTGTCCTCAGGAGGAGACTGAAGTGTAAGAAAAGAGAATTAACTTCGTAAAATAAAATGTTATGGGAGTAAAACTGAGGCTAGGTAAGATATTTTGAGGCTACTTTTCTACATAAATGAGAGAGTTTATGTAGAAATAATAAGAAAACAGGTTCCTAGATGACAAAAAGAATTCCTGGTCTTCCAGAAGGAGAGAATATAGGTTGGAATACTAACGTTTCTGTATTGTAGCATTTAATAAGCACGTTTTGTCTTGTGTTGAGCCAGTACGTGTGGAGAGGTCATGTTGTTTTAATTCAGTGATGCAGGAAGTACATTTTCCTTTGAACCTGTGTATCCTCTTCAAGGGGACACCATGAACTGGAGTCCTTTACTGGGGAGGTTCATGAAGCTTGATACAGTACATGATCTTCTGATAATAAGGCCCGAGGCAATAATTATTAGATAACCATGACTGTCTCCACGTCTTAGCAGGCTTATAGTGCACTTCTTCACACTTCTCACAAACTCATCTTTCGTCCAGCTTATCTTGAAGTGAGAACAGAATACTCTTTCTTGGTTTTGAACAACACTTCATAGTGTCCCTCTACTTTTGTTTTAATGAACTTTAAAGGCGTAAGAGAGTCCATAGTGCTAGTACTGAAATATTATGCTAGAGCATATCCTGACCCAGGTTACATGCTGAATCACAGACCATTGTAAGGAGCTCCGTAGTTGCATGCCTGACTAGGTGAATAGTATTTTTACTATCAAACTGAGTAGTTTTTCCCCGCTATCAAATTGAGCAACATACACTGATCAGAAAGAAAACAAAGGAGTTACTAGACTCTGGGCTACTTCTAGTTGTATTTTCAGGACATCAGGTTTTTTTCCCAATGTAAAATTAGTACTGCCAAAGTTGGCATTACTCCAAAATGTTAGCGAATACTTCTTGTCTGGTCAGTTCCAGCATTCAGGATTGGTCATTGTGCATCTAAGGATAACCTACAGGCAGTGGCAATAGATGGACCCAACTGTGTTAAATGTGTTCTTTTTATTACTACTTACAATCTTCTAATGCACAGTGCTAAGAATTAACAGTGTAAGTCATATAGAGTACTTAGATTTCTAGGAAGCAGAGTAAGTATATATAAGTCTGTTGCCTTATAGTAACGTACATTTGTCTTTAGATAGACATATTTATTTTTTCATGATTTTTTTTCAATAGTCTATGTAATGTTTTTGAATTTTTGGCAGTGTTAAAATACAAAAAAAGTGTACTGTACAAAAATGGCTGCTGTTTAAAATCTGACTTTTGCTTCTCTCATCAAAGGAAGCAGTTTTGATTAAAAGTAGAATATCCTGGCAAACATAATTTTACATTTTTCTGGATGAAAAAGTGTTCTTTATTGTCCAAAATGGCAACAACCAGCTTGAGCGCTCCAAGGCAGTATTTCAGTCCAAGAGCATATACTCCACAAATGGAGTACTGCTAAATAATTACTTGCTCCATTTTAACTAATGCATATCAGATTACTGTTTGAAACAGCTGATACATAGCCTATGTTCCTCTACAAATTAACTCTATTTTAGTGATGGGGTTTTAACCTGATACTTGGTGTAGCCATTTTTAGTAAGCTCTTTGGAACAAAATGGTGAAATTCAGCCAGTAGCATTACGTTTCACTGGCACTTTTTAATGGCCTATGTTACCTGCGGTGCTGTGTCAAACACTACAAATATCTCAGTCATGCCTGAAAACCAAAAACATACGTGATTTTTGGGTTTTAACTTCAATTCACAAGCTTGTGTCTAGATGTTTAATTTCCTGATTGAATATATTTGCCACTTGGGAAACTGAAATTTCAGACTTTATTTTTCTAAAGCACTACAACATGACTTAACTTTAAGGATAAAGAGTAGCTGTAATTGGTCATAGCAATAGATACTTCATAAATTATTCTAATAATGTGTTAGGACTGATGCTTCCAAAATAAACATTTAATAAAGATAAAAAAAACCTGCTTGCATTGCATTGGAAAAAAAATGCAGGTAGCTGGTTTTTTGTGTGTTTTGTGAGGTGACAGCATTTGACTCCACAAAAAAACATGACTTTCCAGTAGAATCTGCTACAGTGTTTTCTCAGTCTATATTTAAAGCTGTCCATGGCTTCCAGTAGATTTGCAAATTCCAACAGCTTTTTAAAGGAAAGGTGAGTTTCCCAAGTCTCCTTGTGAGGCCTATCTAAATTTCCACGTTGCTGGGCTTAACCCAATCATGTACCTGAGTTGCCTTTTTAATACACCTGTGGTTCAGAGTAATTTGCATGTTGTCACAACTATTTTCCATCTGATGCTTTTGGCTAGATATATTTGTGTTATTTAATGTCAAACAAACATATGCAGTGTTCTGGGGTGAAAACAGACATCCAGTATTGTTACAAATATTCCTGATTTCTCTGAAAAAGAGGATCCAATAAACAAAATATAGCACATAGAAGGAGGGGGAGGAGAATAAAAAAGAGCAGTAGGTATTTCACCTTGTAATTATTAGCAGAGTAGAAATTGCTGAATATTTTCACCCGAGTAGCATCAGTACTGTTAGTCCCTTTCCTTGCTTTGACTCCTCTCCTTCCAAAGAATAAGGCAGAAGATATTCTCACCTTCATTCCTGTTTTCCAACTTCCCAAAAATAATGTCAGTGGAAGTAAATAAATTTTCACTTGATTTAAGTTGATTGTTTGAACTAATGTCTTTATAGTTTCATCAGCGATGTGAGAAAAATAATCGGATTCGATATTAAATCCCTCAGGCAACATATCTACTTAATAGTTTTTAGTTTTGCAAGACTTTAGATAGAAAACTTCCTGAACTCATTAATAAAGCCTGCTTTCTTCTCCTTATTTAAATCACTCTCCCGTGTCTGGTAAGCTGTGGTGGCTAATGTTGCTTTTCTAAAGCTAATGAGGCCAAAATGCAAAAGTTTTGTCATCTGCCCTGTGTCTCAGTTGTCCGGGCCTTCAAAAAGTGTTTGTATCTTATTTGTAAATGACTGGCAGCTCTCAATGCTCCCAGGAATAATTATGGTTAATGAGATCCTCTGACTGTAAACATGGAGATTTTCTCTCCCATATGGCTTAGTTCCCTTAGGAGTGTTAAAAGATGAAGCCCAGCCCCAAAACCATTTTTCTGAGCTCAGCTAACAGTGAGAAACTTAAAATAACAGAAGGAATTGTGAGAAAAACTTGCTCTATCTGGATGGTTTTCTTTTTTTTCTCCTTTCCCCATTCCTTCCTGCTTTCAGTACCTCTCAGATATTGGACTTGGCGGTATCAAACAGGTCTTTTGCATTTGAAACCCTCTTGTGCCTCCTGCTGGGGAGCTGCCACTCTGTCATGCGTGCACTCTTTGGGCCAATGTCTGACAAATTTGAAATCTCCGTTTTGCCTGCTGTATGATAAATTTCATGTTTCTGTGACTTCTGTGGAGATAATGTAGCCTTAGTCATGTAGCAAACTGTTACTAGATGCGTAGCTAAACCTAACCTTTAAACTGTATGTAGAAAATGGCATGTTTTCAATTCCTAATATATGGTGTTTCTCCTTGTTACTGTGATTATTGTTGTTATTATATACAGATTATAGCAATATATTTTCTGTTCTTTTAAATAATAGATTTTCCCGAAACATTTTTAAAGTACTAGCATTGCTGTCACTAATGAAACCTTACTATACTTGCAGTATTCTAGATCCGTATTCAGTAAATACGTGCATCCTCAATTCTTCAGGAGAGTACTTAATTATGTAAGCAAGAGCACTGTTTCTGTGAATGAAATTACACTTATATTTTAGTACATTTAGGTTTTTGTCTGTACTGTAAGTAGACCTAGCCAGAATGCGTGATACTTCCTTCAAATATTTTTAAAAAGGTTAACAGAGTACAAGGAAAAACATGCCTGATGAGAACTTAATCTGGGAACTTGGTTTTTACTCTTTGTGAAACTTCTGTGCCACCTTAAAATGTTTCATCTATATAGCACAGAGTTAAATTCTGAGCAGAAGGAAGGCACTTGAAGAAACACAAATTCGCAATGTCCTTAAAAGTGTTCCACTGGGAGTATAAAAGGGGAATGCCTGATATTTCCTAAATTTGCAAATGTTTGGGACCAACTGAAGACCGAGATATCTCCAGTGTAGCCTTGGCAGAGTGGGTGTGGGGAGGGTCGCCTGACGTTCTGGCAGGACTCCTGGAGAGTACAGGATGTACCAGACTGTAAAAATGAAGTACCAGAGTGAGTCAGGAGATGAAGTGTCTTAATTGTGAGTGGCAGAGTTGTAATAATAAATAAATTATCTTAAACAAAGTCCTCAACTGATTAAATGATAGCGGTAGTGCAAAAATGATAATTTCACTGCAGTATTATAAGTTGGTGGAGTTATGGTTTATAGGCATGCTGTAATCTGAAAAATAAGCCGTCTCCTTCCTTACTCTGGAAACAGATTATTTTTATTTGCTTCTTCAGAGCTGGACAGAAGATGGAGATTGTTCTGTGTCTCATCTTTCATCTTCTGTTACAGGGGTCCTGGAGGTGGTAGACCTTGGCCAAACCCAACCAATGCCAATTCTGTAAGTAAATATTTAAACTATATCAGACATTATCCTATATTTAGAGGAAGAGTTCTCATCCATACACCAGGAAAAGAAATTTCACTTAATTCAACAGATACACACTGCGTGCTTCGTGTTTTTCTCCATAACCCTAATACAGAGCAGGTACATTGAGAAGCACATCTGAGCCGAGAGCTCATTGACCTGCAAAATCCAGCTCTGTTCATGGTCACACAACAGCTCTGCATCTTTACATCAGTTACAGCACTTCGATAACACAAAGGTTATTCTGAGCTATATTTAAAATACATTTTAGCTGCCTTTAGTACAAGTAAGCTATGTTAGGTGAACACTATCTGGCCATCAAGCTCAACAGAAATCACAGCTTGTAAAGAAACAGCTCAATGCATCTTCACGTATTTTACATGACAAAAGCACATTTGCTGCTCTTAACTAAGGAATATGGAATCAGAGAGCAATTACTTGCAAGACATCAACCATTTTTATGTGCTTTTTGTAAAAAGCAGTGCACTATTGAATTTCACTGCAACAACTACAAAATGAGGTAGTCTAACAGCAGCTAGAAGGAAGAGAAGGTCAGTGAGGCATTCCCCATGAAGGACAGTGTCTAGTATTTCTTCAGAAAACACAAAGGTAAAGTTTTCATTATAATTCAGTGATCATACATCAGAAGTTTGAAAATGGATCTCTACAGGACTTGTGGTTGAACAAGATGGATCTGGCTCAGCAGACTGGCCTGCTTCTTTCTACTGTTCTCAGTTTTGATTTTTTAATTTTACTAGTGATAATTAGTGGAAAAAAAGAGCTGAAACTCCTCAGTTTTCTTTTCCATGTACTCAGATAAAATGGATGTTAGGATTCTTTTCAACTGATAGTTGAAATACTTTCATTCTACGAAATTAGTTGAAAATTCCAGTAATAGATTTATTAGTTTGAAATGTGTTGGCCAACAAGTTGGCTGCAATCATGTAATATACTTATTCTACAAAATAGTATTGTGTCTTGTCAGCACAGTTGCTTAATTCTTATCCCCTCCTCCTATAATAGCATTGGTCCATGCTCCTTTGGAGAGAGTAATTGCAATAGCTATCATAAAGAAGAAAACTGGATTATTCACAGGCAGCTGGATTTCTCCAGATATCCTCTTTAACAAGTATCACAACTGAATTTGAAATCAAAATAGGATACTACTATCTTTTCAAAAAAAAAGAAAAAGAAATCAGTGTCTTCTAGGGTGAAAGATACAAGACAGTTACTTTGCTTTTATGAGCAAGATTTTAGTTAAGGTTAGCTATATAGAGGAACATACAAATTCAGCCATGCTTGGGATGACTCTGAAGTGCTATCGACTTAAATGCAGGTACACGCTGCTTAATTTTATAAACCTTAAAAAGCATGTTATCTTAATAATCTTAGAGGTTAAGCTTTCACTATAGACTCTAGATCTTTAGGGACCTTATTGTGGCACTCGCAATAAGAAGACTCTTGTAGTAGATGCAGGAACTACGTTGATACTAGACCTTGTAACTGGATATCTTAGAAAAGTGATGCTGGCTGTTAAAAATGCATGCCTCATTTATTGTGAAACAATGGAGAGCAGATATCAGACCTCAGCCTACAGAACATTTAAATGTGGGAAATATGTTATTCATATTAATTTCATTGGAGTTACTTCCAGGGCACAGTAATCTTAATTTGAAATATTTTAATTTGAAATATTGGGTATTAAATCTTGTTTTCCACCTATATTGCTGGTTTTGGACCTGAACGTACTTACCACAAGTTGTTGAAGAGGTGTTTGTTTTGACAACAGCAGCATTTTTGCATAATTCTTAAGCATGGCTTTGAAATAAATTAAAAAAATAAGCATTAACCTACAGCTGTACATAAATGTATGTGTGGACTCCATCTCACTGCAGAAGAAATTACTGTTTTGTTTTTGTTGATATTACAGATACCTTATTCTTCAGCATCTCCTGGGAACTATGTTGTAAGTACACTTGTGTGTGTTTGCTTATTAGAATAGATGTTACATTTTATTTAGGCAGAGAAATAGCTGTCCAGATGTTAAGAATAACCCTTGTGTATTGGTTGAGAACTGAACATCTGATCTGCACTTACATTTTTTCTGCTGTCTCTGGTGCATATGTTGATGTTCATTACTAGAATCATTATCAGTCTGGTCAAAATTGCTCTGAGTACTGCTTTATTTCAGCTAACATTTATATAACCAATGAAATATATTGTCTTCAACAATAAAGGACAAAAAAAGCCCCAGCTTTCTCGGTAAGACAACATTGTGTATGAGTTTCTGAAGTTCTTCAGAAAATAAAAGCATTTGTAGAAGGAGAACAAGCTTTTATCTCCCCAAAGATATGCAACTAGATCGTTATAGCTAACATGTTAAAGGCAATTTTTATTACAATTACCTTCTGAGGACTTGAAGATTCTATTTTATTCCCCATAATACATCTTCATTCCACAGACATTGTCTTAATTTATTATGGATTAGTTGGTATCATTGGTTTTTTCTTAATCTGTACTTTTGGATTAAATAGCTAACAGTTGGTAATAGACCCAGCATTGAGCTGTAGTTCAAAAGAAAAATTTTAACACTCT